TATATATATATATATATATAAAGTAAATAGCGTTCATATTAATATGAACGCTGTTTATTTTGAAATTACAGAAATGATTTACATTTTAAATATGAAAATTAATACTAACGAAATGTTATTTAATTTAAGGGATTAAATTACGATTTCTTCTTTGATATACTCAAGTTAATTGTTAAAATGTCAAAACTTTTTAATGCTCATGCTTGAGTTTCCTACATTTTGATAATTTAATAGAATTATTTCCAAATCTGTATTTTTAGATATTTCCGCAAAACCATTAATTCTTTCTGCGTGAGATTCATTTCTTTTTTTGAGAAAGAAAACATATTGAGATGTATAGTTAATGTTTAAAAAAACAACTTAAAGTTTTGTGTACAGCATGTACAGCTGATACGAATGTCGTATTTTCAGACGTATTTACGATCTATATCGGTGTTTCATCGAACGATGCACATGTCGAAAATGCGTCATGCTAGGTAAAAGAAAAATATTGCGTGTTTTATTTCCAAAAATTTCGTCGATGGCGCCGTTAACGTGCGGCAAGCGTTGACAAAGGTCAAAGATCGTTATTGAAAACGCGAATAATTGGATAAACGCGGGGAAGGAGTGCTATGAAATCACTGTAAATTAATCGACGGGGAGCCGGATCCTCAGGTACTGAAAAATCACGCTAATGAGTGGACGAGGGAGATTTGACAGAGGGAAGTGATAGGGGAAGACCGAGAGCGAGCTGTGGTCACTTCAAACGTCAATGCCGATCGTAAACCGGGCCTGTATCACACAAAAGCGTATTGACGATAATAATTAACGCTCCGTTACAAACGACCTCGGATGTACAGATGCGCGCGGTCGAGATAGGCTTAGCTCGTGTAATTAGCGCTAATTAATACAGTGCAATCGGCTCGGTCGCGGAATCTCGGCAACACGGATTTAAGGGGCGAAAAACGTGATTAAGTAGAACACATTGGGATCCACAAACGTCCACGTCTGCGTTTTTTATCGATCGCCAATCTGAAACTGACGCGATTTCTCTACTCTAAAAACGCAGCCTATCAAATCAATTCGGCAATCTTTCCGCGATCGTTCGATAGTTATCACGGTCTGAAGAGTTACGAATAAATAATCGCGTAATTCTACAATTTAGTCGCATTCTACAGGAAAAGCAGCTCTGCAACTGTTGTAAGGTTCTTTAATATGATTTTTATATTTAGATCCAGTGTGAAAAATTAAGGACAAGAACTAATTATATACAGAAAGAAACGATTTTGCTAAAGTTATATTTACAAATTTAGATACGGATTTGAAAATAATTTTGTTTTTTACTATCAAAATAATCACGTAGGATGATCAAGTTGGTTGTTGGAATGTCAAAACTTTTTACAACATTGTCATCAACGCTTAAACGTTCTATACAATTATTTTGATGATCCAACAAAATTATTTTCACGTATCTGTCTAGCTAAACATTTAAACATTTCTTTTAGACAAAACTTTTAGACATTTCAGCAAAATTATTCTTTCCTATTATATTTCCTGATATTAAATATCCTTGATTGTGTATGATATAAATCCTTTTTTTTTTTTAGAAAGAAAACATCGATTAAAGAATGATAACTGCGATTGATAGAACTGTAATCATCGACGACCGCGTAGCGTAGACAATTAATAGCTTACAAAATGAAAGCGATATTAAAAATTTCTTACAGCCACCTGCACTGTACAGTGACAGCTATTATTATTGCGATACTAAACGAATTGCGCGCAAAGGTAAACCGGTTAACCGAAGGCTAACAGTTCAAGTGTCTATATAAAGTAAGGAATTAACATGAAAATGTGTTACAAAGAATAATTTAAAGAGCGAGAAGAAAATCACCAGCCGTTCGCTTTGTGCCTCTTCCAGAATGTGATATTAAAATGCTGGCGCCATGTGATTACGTTATATATTAACAAAGTTATGTAAGGCATGAGGATAGCGTTAATTAGTTGGCTTTAAATGCGCGTATATATTGTTACGTATTATACGAAACGTACGTTAATTAATTCTACGATGGCACAAAGCAAATGATTCATCGAGCAAAATTAAATAAACTCATATATTTTTTAGATGTCCTTTATTATACATAAAATTTATATTATATTTGCGTTTATTTTATTTAAAAGAGATTTTTCTTGCTGAGACACTACAAATTCATAGAATTGCAAGGTAATCTCAAAATTAAAAAAAAAAAATTTTTTTTTATGGAAAGCATATGTATTTTTAAATTATGTGCTGAAAGTCACGTCGCGCAGCGGTTGATTAAGCCATCAAATCCATGATTTCTTAACACAGGCATAAACAGATAGCAGGATTACAAGATATAGTTTTCAGACTTGCACGCGCAAATTTGCAGCGTGTGGCTGTAATGACATGTTTCTTCTATCATTGATTATTACTTTTTTATTATTTAATTACTTTCATAAGCCCGATAATTTAATTTTTCATAAGTTATAACAACCTAATTTATGGTTTATCTTGACAGTGGCAAATATATGTACGTTACATGCTTTTAATAAATTCCCTTGCAAGGCTCAATCGATCTTTTTCTTCTTGACGTCACGTCTTTATGTCGAATCCGAGAATCTTGTGTTTGCGTATTGTATAAATAAATCATATAAATCTTAAGTTCGTTAGCGACGATTTATTGTACGTCAGCTTCAGAAAACAAAAGCCGAGCGTGAAGTTCACTCTGAGAGTCAAATATGAAACTTTAATTTCGCGAATAGAGATCAACCCTCGCTCTCGTCTACACATTTCCATCGTATGAATTTACTTTATTACACTGAAAGAAAAGTGTTTTATACTTGTATTTTTTACATGATAAAATAATTATAGTTAAGAGCTCCGTTTTCATAGTTATTACTGCTATATTAGTAATAATTATATTTATATAGTTTCTATATACATATAAAAATTATATAATCATTTTTCGATGCCTGAATTGTATATTTTTTTGTTGAAATAAAATAAAATAGCAATTATTAAAATTGAATATATTTTTCTCTTAGTGTACAAATATAATTATCACTAACAAATTACTAAATAATAATATAGTGATAATTATATAAAAATGGAGTTCCTAATCATACAATTACTTTACTGTACAATTATAGTCACAAACATTAAACACTTTTCTCTCACACAAGCAGTGTCTAAACATTTAATTAGATATTTTGTTACTTCGCGATTCATCCAGCAATCAAGAAAGGAATTGTGACTGAAAGAATTCTCGCGACGCATCCTCCCCGTCCGCGATGTGGGGGTGGCTCGGGTACACGACTTGACGTCGCGGAGGCGATTCCGCGGCGCAGGGCGGTTTTAGTCACTCCCACCTGTGACGGACCACGTGGTATCCACCACGGCACCCCAGTGCACTCAACAGCATCGCTATACCGACGACGAGTATACGTCCTCTCTGCCACCGTCACCACCGTCGTCCGCGGAGGTGCCTCCTCCACTACCACCACCGCCACTACCACCGCCACCACCGTCACCGTCGCCAGCACCACCACCGTCATCATCACCCACCCGCGTTCTCAGTGTCAAACGGACGACGCGTCTGTCGACCGACGAGTGCGTTGTCTACCGCGCGAATTCGAGAGAGGAGAGACCCTCTTCTTCTGTGATCACAGCTTCGATACCGATCGACTTCGCGCGTCCTGAGAGATCATCGTGATCCTCGTGATCTCTCGATGCCGATTAGCGGGGGAAGCTAGGACAGTTTCTATTTTTTTTTCTCTCTCTTTCATCAATTAGCAGTCCGCTTGGCATCACGTGCCGGCCACCGTCTCGCGGGAGCTCGCGACACGCGACTCGTGTAGACGGTGGTACTGAACGGCCGGCACGACCTCGTCGTCGCCGTCGAGGAGGCCCGACCCTCGAAGCACGAGGGCATCGCCCGCCAAGAGGGAAGGGGCCTACAGGCCTTCTGGCCTCTTCGCGAGGATGTCGCCGCCTCCTCGTCGTCGGCGACGACGTGGATGTACGCGCTTCTCGGTAAGGGGATTCTCGCGATGACCCGCGAATGCTCGTGATGTGCGAAATAGCGCCGCGATCCTTTTCATCGAGACGTCGGAAAAATTATTTTGATCTGCGTGTGATTTAGCATATACACTAAAAGGTTGATAATAACTGCCAAATGTTGAATGAAATAATTCCAATCAAATATTCGATCAATACAAACCATAGTTTTTTTACTTTCTAAATATTTAGTAAACGGTATGTTAACCGAACTTTTGACTGGAACTATTTCACTCAACGTTTGATAACTATTTTTTCTCAGTATATTTTAGGATTATTCGTCTCCTTGATTTTTGCAAAAGTAGAAATCAATCTAATATCGTCGGAATATCGTCGTGCAATTTTTATAATTACTTTATACATTTTGTTTCATAATATTACATTAGACGTGAGATTTATGTCTATTTCTATTTCAATGTGGATTAACTTAATATTGTTTAATTAATTGTTTTTTAATTTTTAGAATTATAGAAAGATAAAAAGTAAGTTAAACCGATATTAAAGTTAATCTTTATTGACATAAATAAACATTAATCGAACATAACTTCTTCGTCAACGCCTTTTTAGACAGTATATGTATTACTTTTCGTATTTTTAAATCACTATCAGTAGGTAATTTAATAGGCTATAATTTATCTACAAAAGTCAGTAGGTAATTTAATAAGCTATAATTTATCTACAAAAATTATAAATTACAAACTGTGGATTTAATAGTGATTTTTAAACAGAGTCGGTTAAAGTGTTTTCTTCTTGATTTTTTTTTGACTTGGAAAAGTGTTTTCTTATTATTGGTTTTTTTTTTAATTGAAGAACTTGTGTGTTAGTGACATATTGTGCTGTTCATCCATCAGATACGTTTTCCATTAATTATTTCAATAACGATCACTGGGATATTCTCCTCAGTTCAGGTACTGTTTTCTTTTCCATTGTCACATTGACGTGAAATTCATATTCATACTAGTCTCATCGTGTCGATTCCTTTATTTGGATCACAAAGAATATTTTTCTCTGAAGCTCTGTTTCTTCTGTTTCTGATCTTTACTTAATTCGTACAATGAATTCCTTATCCATTCAGATAACTTTAATTTATCGACACTGTTTTACTAATGGTAAGGTATTATATTTTCCAACATCGAAAATCGCAACAGGTGCCATCGTCATGTCCATTATTATATCGATCATTATGCTAGTGACATTATTGCTATTTCCATTGATAAAGGCTCGAAGCATAGTTATCGAAGGTCGCGCGCGCGCGACGTTGTTGCAGCTCCTAGGTAATGTCATTGTCACTATTATCTCAATCGTCAGCGTCACGCGATTGCGTTCTGAATAATTTTTTTTACACGTCATCGAACGCACCGAGAGCATTCGTTGTTTACACGGTGATAAAACGTATAGATCTTTATCGTACAAGGAAAGAACAATTTTGCGGAAGTATCTAAAAATTTAGCTACCCAACCAGGATCACAAGACATCAAAATGGCTCGAAAATGATTATTAAAAGTCACTTTTGGATCAATAATGATTTAACGTCACATTTTAACTTGTCGTGATTTGTGATTCTACTTGGACAGATACAGATCTGAAAATAATTTTGTGGAACTATCAAAATAATTATATAAGAAACTCGGGGATAATAATACAAAAAGTTTTGATATTCAACAAACTTGACCGTCTTACAGAATTATCTAACAGAATTGTCTAACAAAATTATTTTCCAATCTGTATCTAGTTAAATTTTTAGACACTTCAGCAAAATCATCTTTTCCGTATAGTTTTATGTAACACTATCATTTGGATCAATTTTCATAATATATTTCGCAATATATGGTTACCTAACTGAGGATTAAAGGTTAACAGGAAATTCATTCATAAATTTCATTGATAAATCTCTTGGTAACCTTTAATCTTTAGATTAGACGAAATTCCATCAACTACCGTAGGTATCTCGTTTGTGACAGAATAAAAAATTCCAACTTGTACTGACATTTTCATAAGTCGAGAAAATTATTTTAATTATAGAAAAGATATTCATAAGAGTTCACTTACCTGCGAAAATTATTATTAAATTGCGAAAGATAATACATTGCAATACGCTATCGAGACTTGATGAAGAAGTCACATGCATGTTTATTTATGATTAAAAATAAATACGCGCGGTTATTATGATTTTATTACCATAATTTTGCCGGTATTTATAAAAGCAACATGGGAAAGTTACGTGAAAGGATTCGCATTTAGTAATATCACGGAGATACAGAGATATGGATGTTTGAAATATTATCCCATAGAAAAGTATCTTTTTCTACCACGGATAGCTTATGTATTCGACCCTCCGGAATTGGTTTCTGAAACTCAAACGTCTATAGACAAGGCCTTCTCCGGAGAACATTCCTTCTGTTTGCAAGTGCCGTCATCGTTGTCTGTATCGCGAACGTGCGTTTACACCGTGAAGCGAAATGTCATAAAAATGCAGAATTGCCTGGCAGGCAGCGGCACGAGATAGCAATTAATGCGCGTTGAAGGCGAGTGATTCGTTATGGGTTTGTGTTTGATTGATTGCCGATTTCGTCGTCCGCCCGTATATTCTTGCCGATCTAGAGCCGATCTTGCGTAAATATTCTTTGTGACCCTTCTGCAATGCTGGATGGGCGATGTATAGACTGACACGTGCAAAATTTCTTGAACGAAGAAAATATACACGGAAAGAACGATTTTTCTGAAATATTTAAAAATTTATCCAGATACAGATCTGAAAGTAATTTTGTTGGACCATCAAAAGAATTATATAGGAAATTTAAACGTGACGAACAATGTTGGACGAGAAGAACAGTTTTGACAGAATAAATCTAATTTAGTTAGCTACAGATTTAAAAATAATTTTGTTGAACCATTGAAATAATTACACAAAACGCTCAAGCATGGTGAGCAATGGAAAATATTTTAATATTCTAGCAACTTCTAGAACATCTTATACGTAATTATTTTGATACAAAATTATTTTCAGATTTGTATTTTTCAGAGCTAAATTTTTTATCCCTCTCTCTGTTTGGGCTTAATAAAAAATGTAATTTTCTTACTAATATTTTATTTAAGAACTTTTTTTTCTATTTGATGACTTCGTCTATTAACGTCAGATCTTTTTCTCTAAAAAGTTTTTATTTTTAAAAGCTTTTTTAATCATGTTGACCGAAACGTATAATAAATTTGAAGACTAGTGGGATTAAATATTTCAACAAAATCGTTTTTTCCTTATACAGGATGTTTCAAAATTCACGCCCACGAAGTATAAGACGTGATATTTTATGCTAAAACAAACAACTTTTTCCTTTAACGAAATTGCGCCCGATAAATAATTTTTGCGCTTATTTGTTGACTTCAACCTGCTCTCCTGCAAAAATTACTTATCGGACGCAATTTTGCTAAAGGAAAAAGTTGTTTTTTGTGCTTAAACGAACAACTTTTTCCTGTAATAAAATTACATTCGATAAATAATTTTTGCGTTTACTCATACAACTTCAACTTTTCTGCAAAAAACTACTTGTCAGACGCAATTTTGCAAAAGGAATAAGTTATTTCTTTTAACATAAAATATCACGTCTTGTATTCGCGGGCGCGAATTTTGACACATCTTACATAGTAGTTCTAGAGACATCAAACATTCTCATTTTGTTATGTTGATTTAATTTAGGCTTAGACTTTTGGCATAACGTCTTTAAAAATCCGCGATTTTTAAAGATTGCGAATTGCTCTTTTCGCGAAAAGGGTACATGCCTTTCTCTTTCTGTTTTTTCCCGTTATTGCGTAATTATTAATATAATACTCTACGTCGGCGGTAATTAACGTGCATTCCGAAGTCGCGCGACGCCCGATGATACGTGTTCAATCGCACTTACAATCGCGTCGTGACATTGACGTGCTGTCATCACTCAAGGCCGAAGATTGCGTTACGCACATGCGACATATTTGTTCCGTCTACTTCCTTATGCGACATTACGACAAGGCGCGTTGCTTTTTGCAAGTTCACGAAATTAAATTATAAAATTGATCGTCATCGCGTGTCATTAGTGAGGGAAAGAAAATCTCAGTCTGAACGATCTCCGTATTTTTAGTTCCCAACGCTTTTTGCGGTTGCAACTATTGCGGTGCCCTTCGTCTTCGACGAGGGAACTGCACACGAAAGAACGATTTTTTAAATATCTAAAAATGCAGCTAGATACAAATCTGAAAATAATTTTCTCGAGTCAAAATAATTATGCAGGACGCTCAAGCTGGTTGCTAGAATATCAAATTTTTTTTCTAGCATCTTGTTGCTTATCTTGCATAATTATTTAGATGATTCAAAATTATTTTGAGATCCGTAAATGCAGCTAAATTTTTAAGTATTTTAGCAAAATTGTTCTTTTCGCGTGCGAGTCGTAGCCGTGGAAATTAATCGGCCGTTTAAAATGAGGGAAACTACCGGTGTGAAAAGTTACACTTTGCGTGGGTTCACACAAGTAGATAATTATGCCTTAGCTTCCGGATAATTGCTCGTCAATAGTACCGTATTTTACATTACGCAAAGCCATCGCAAATTATCACACGTCGAGTCAACATACTTATACACGCAGACGTAATTTTGCAGAACACAATTAAGTCATCATGATAGCGTCAAAATGACTTCAAAACAGCGTCAAAATGACTCCAAAATAATTATTTAAAATTACTTTTCGATTAGTTACGGTTTATTCTAATGACGTCGTTATTCCGACGACGTCATTGACATTTGACGTCATTTGACTTTGATGACGTCGTTTGACATTATCTTGATTTGTTGTTCTGTTTGGAACGCGCCGAAGGTTTGCAAGAAGAACATCGTCCAAAAGTCATTTATCAATAAATTCTCTTGCTAAAAATTTATTTCTCGATCGCGAAGCTTATCTCTCAATTCGAGACCGGTTCCGGAATTAGTTTTGTGAGGATAATAAGGGAAGCTTTCGCACGTCACGAACGTTTTCGCGCGCGTCCTTTGGTGGGAATCGCTCCAGTGGCGAATCGCTCTGTCGTTCTCCAGACGGGGGTGATCTACTGCCGGACACCAGCAGCGATGGCGTCGTCGAGAATGATGACGCGGTGGTCGTCGCAGGCGACGGCGCCTGCGTGAATGATCGCATGCTGCACTATCATCAACATCAGCATCAGCAACATTCCCATCAGCAGCAGCAGCAGCAGCAGCACCAGCAACAACGTCATCATCATCAACTGCAGCAACAGCCGTCGGCGGAGTCCGAACTGGACGATCTTCTACGATTCCGCGGTACTACGACCGGACAAGGACAGGAGAAGATGGTGGCGCAGGAAATGGCACAGGGCTACACCCAGCTCTTGGCGCATTCGGCGGCTGCGGTGCCGGCCCAGGAGACGCAGGAATACATCTCGCTGCAGGAGCTACAGCCGCGTATTCACCACCAGGAGCATCATCGCACCGTGCACGACACCTGCACGCAACTGGCCACGTCCGCCTCGCAACTCTATCATCAGCATCATCAGCATCAACAGCAGCAGCGAAGCGGTGGACAGCAACAGCAACAGCAACACCAACGAGATTATTATAATCTCTCGTCCGTGCAGGAGTAAGTTTGATTGTTCCGCTAGTTGCGTGTTCGTCGTCACGAAACGATTAAGATAGAGGATCTTAATTAATGCAGAGTATCGATGAAATATGTTTTTATATCAACCCGTGTGTCGCAAATGGTCTCCAAATGTATTACAATGTAAATTTTAAAGAAGGTAAAAAGAAGAGGCAAATTTAGAAATAAATAAAAGAGTGAATGAAATGTGAATTAAGAACGAAAGAATAATTTTCTAAATTATATTGTAGTAAAAATTAAATTTTTTAGAAAAGGGGAAAAAACTTTCAACTTAACAGAATATTGCTGACAAATCAAATAATATTGCAAGAAGGACACTCTTCCAAAGGACTTCTTTTTACATACTTTTTGACTTTGTATTTAGATGTTTCAAAATTTAATATTAAAAAATATGCCATATCCATTAATTTTGAGAGGCTGTTTCACTCCGTAAATCTGAGAATGGGCCGATATAAAAAAATACGTGTCTTTTATGTTGTATTTTGCGTTTGACAACATATTTCAAGGAAAATCAAATCGAACAATGACAAGTCTCTTGTAAGTCATCCTCAGTAAATATGATGTTAATACCGCGTAAAAAAAAATAAGTAATAAGAAAAATAAGACAAAATAGTAAATTAACCGTAGAAATAAGACATTGAAATAAATAAGGTAGAAATAAATAAATAAGAAGAAACTATATTTGGTGCATAACAAATATTATTAATAAAATCAAGTATGATAGACAAAAAAGAATGACACTTTCCTGAAGACGAATCAATCTAAAAGAAGTGATGTCCAGATTTTTGTTTCTTTACAAGATTTAATTTATTTTTTTCATTTATTACTTTTCTTATTACTTATTTTTTATGATTAGTATTATATTTACGGATGAGAATGACTTATTAGTTGAAAAACGTTGCTCCATGCGATGTTGCTTTTGCGACGTTGGATTAAATAAACATTCAGAGATGATTGAATTATATTATTATTTATTCTTAAAACGGAACTACGCTGCTACGTTGTTTTATGCGATACGTTATTTATATCACATTGTGTGCAACAACAATCAATAAGCCTCTTGATATAATCTGCTAGAATCGGCTTTGGAATTATGACCGGTATTGTCAATACCGAGTTATCGAATCAGTAATACCTCGGAAATCACTCGGAAACTGGTTATTCGTGTACCCAGTATCTAAATGATATCTGGACCCGTTACTAAGGTAAATTAATTAGTAAAAAGAAAAAAAAACATTTAGATTCATGTAATTGTTCTAATAATAATAGGCAATATTAAATGGCATGTCGCGTAATCGAATCTGCGAATGAAATTTGTATTTTACGTATTTACAAACGCGTGTGTGTTTAGAAAACAAAAGGCGAAGCGAAGGACAAAACTCAAGATGATTATTAGATTGTGAAAATTTGTTGAAACATTGCTCATCTTGTTTCTACATAATTATTTTTATAGTTTAACAAAATTAATTTCACATCTGTATCTGATTAAATTTTTAGGTACCAAAAAAGGCTAAACTGTTCTTTTTGTACGAAATTGAAGTTGATCCACATTGAAAATAAACATCTCGTGTAAACGACATCGTTTTGCTCGCATTGCCGTTAATGGATCATTATGGACGTACATTATTTAGATCCGTTAGAGCGTGAATGCTGAACTAGCGATGACTGACATTGTCCTTTGTTTTCGCCTTTTGTTTTACACACACGTTTGTAGATTTATACATAATAAACAAATTAATTTACCCGAGTAACGGGTCCAGATATCATTTAGAGCAACACGAATAATCAGTGTCTTACATAATTATTATGATGAACTAACAAAATTATTTTTAGATTTATATTTGGTTAAATTTTTAGATACTTCAAAAAAACTGTCCTTTTCTTGCGATTTAATTCACTTTTTATCTTTTCCTAATTCTAAGAGATTTCGAATTCTTAGAAGAACCTAAAAAATAAATTTAACCGAAATTAATCTATATTGATAAAAAAGGATTATAATAAATAATCGGTTGATAATTTTTCCCTTTTCTCTTCATATTGCTCTCGATTTTCATTTCGATGTTTCGATAGTCGTAGTGCAACTAACGGGGACCAATGGAAAGCTTCGCGCTTTCTATTCTATCGCTTCTTTTTTCACCATTTTCTGTTCCCATACCTCGCTCAGTATTTTATACGAGTCGCGAGATGCATTGCGTAATGCATCTCTTTATCATTGTCTCGCAGTACCGCAACGAATGTGATTTCCATGCGTTATGTTGACTACTCGATCAGACGCATTCTCGCTCTCTCTTTCGCGTCCACGCCTTTAAAATTAATTTTTTAACGGTCCGAGTGCCATGTGCAACTCATGATTTATCTCGATAATCCTAGCTAACTAATAATTATATCACGATTATAATCTGATTTGCTTCGAAAATTCATCCAATGAAAAGTAGATCGAAATGAAATAAAAAAAAGATCTGTTTTGCTGCACTTGACTGGGCTAGAATTTTCCCTCTCTTTGGCCAAACATATACATGGAAGAAACAGTTTTGTTGAAATATTTACAAATTTAATTAAATCCGAAAATAATTTTATTGGACTATCAAAATAATTAGGATGCTCAAACTTTGCTAAAACTTTTTGCAGCATTGCTCATGCTTGAAATTCTTACGTAATTATTTTGATGTTTCGACAAAATTATTTTCAGATTTATATTTAAATTTTTTAATATTTCAATAAAATCATTTTATCTATTTCACTTTAAGCATAAACAGTGTATGCTTCTCTCTAAATTCTTTGGAGTGGAATCTCGCTCTAAAATGTAAAAATTGAACCAGTTTTGAATAAGAGTAGTTCCATTTTCAATCTTTGATTTTATTCTTCAGAGTGACACTTCGCTCTAAAAGTTTTAGAGAGTAGTTTAACTATAAAAAAAAAACAGATTAAAAATTATTATTTCGTAAATAAGTCGCGCGTCTTTATGTTTTAAAGCATGTATTCATAGTCGGTTCTTATTTCAACACC